AATAAACAACCATAATCATATACATTTAGTTATTTATGTATTTATATATATATACACATTTAATTATGATATATGATAAATGAAAAAAATTGACGTAAACACAAAAAAACTTGAAGGGGTGTAGATAAAATGGAATAACGACCAAAATGGTAGGCAGAGGAGATTCATCAAAAATCTTTGATCTTCTAAACCATTTTTTGATATTCACAATGTATCAAACATTTCAGATATTTTCAGTGCACACCTATGAAATCCATTTGCCAAACGATCTGATTTACAATCAACTCCTTCCTTCCTTTCAATTCTCCTCTTCCCACTTTTGCTTCTGTTTCTCGCCTTTTTAGAACCAACTTTACGACAGTCAATTTGCTCATCAATAATAAATGAATACATCCAACCAAATTCAAGTCTTTTTTAACTCTATTAAAAACAGAAATTTTAATGCAAAAAACTCCTTATTCATAAAATCACCAGTCTTAAGTACAAATTGAATAAATATAAAAACTATCACTTTTTCCTCTTTTTATTTTTGCCACACCAATCAGACATCTAAAAAATAAAAAGAGAACATTTTTTTGATAGAAAAAATAAAGATCAAAAGTTCAGAAATCAACAACAACTACATAATTCTGTTGCGGGCTTCCGATTTTACTCATATTTTCTAAACGTCCTATTTCCTACAAATCGTGCAGGAAAAAAAAGCAGAAATCAAACGAAAACTTGATAGCTGGCTGAAGATTACCACTTCTTGAATAACCAATCAAGGTACAAATGATGATACTTGTATATTTATCAGAATCACTGAAAAGGCAACAAAGCATGACTGCCGTCAAATCCTTTCAACCAAAATTAAAAGCAATGATCATAAAAAAAGCATCGGCGACAATAATAATATTTTTGTTGCTGTTTTGAACCATCGGCTAAGAACTATACAGATCAATTTTTGGTTGTTAATTGACTAAAAATTCCACCCTACCAAAAATTGAATACTTAGCGAACGCGTTGTCAACTTCATCTAAAAAAATTCACCATTGTTAGTCAACATAATTAATCTAACTGACGAACAACAAGAGAGCAACAACCATAAATTGTTCCCGAAAATTATGAGCGCTGAACAACGGAAGACGAACAGTGGAAAGAAAAAAGAAAAGTGGCGAAGAATAAGTTGAAAAAGTAGCTGAACTAAAGGTCGAGGAATGGGAAGAAACTGAAGAAGAATTGGGTGGGGAAACGGTGCTGAAGAACCACAAGAAAAACAAAAGGTGAAAAGACAATAGCAAGAACTAATTAAGATTAAAAAAAACTTTATTAACCAATCTCCTTACCTTCAGTTGCAATTAGTTAAAAGCAAACAGTTTTTCTGCCAGCCCTCATAAATTTATATTTTATTTCTTTCCATCATCGTAATCATCCAGAAGTTCTTTGAAAAGAAAAAAAACTGATTAAATCAGCGCCAAAAAATGTTTGCAAAACACTTTTTTCAGAATACTAATCAAGAAAGATATCAAAAAACCTACAATTCAGGCGTTTAGTGCATTTTTTGACTGTTGCCAGTTTCAGCTTGAATTATCACTCGAAAAGATACTGCTTTCAGAAAAGATGCTAAAAGACTGTCACGTCCTTTTTTTTCATCCTCATTTTTTTGCTCAAACGATAACACTTATAAAAAAATACGTCTACAGAAGAATGCAAAGACCCATGCGCAAGTTCATACGAATATAAAAACGCAGATATAAGCGTCACCTTCCCCTCCATTTTTTCCCTCTTCTCCTTTCCTACCATCACCAGCGCTAGTATCATCGCCATTTAGGAATTATATATATATATATATATATATATATATATATATATTACGTATATATATATATATATATATATATATATATATATATATAGTCCCCTCTCAAAGTCAAATCTAAAGTTTGATTTTAAAAAACTAATAAAAATCACAACAACTAATAGCTCAATAAGGAATGAGGTAGGCACCAAAGAAGAATTTGTCGGTCCAAAGAAAAAGCACTTTTTCATGCGTCAATGAAAAATACATTTTCTCCCTTTTTCTTTACCTCATTCTTTTTCTTCTTCTGCGTCTTCTTCTTCGTCTTCAGTTCCTTCTTTCACTCCATTGAATGACAACATGAAGCATATTAAAAACGTCACTAATATTTGCACTACCCACTCCTTTTTGCCTATTTTAAAATATTTTCGGCATACTGATATAAAAAATGATTAGGAAAAAACAGGAGAAAAAACAATGATTTATGAAATGAAAAAAACGACAATAGGAAACAAGCTCCTGCGGCGAAAGCGGTGAACAGAAGGGAGAAGGGGAAAGAAGGGGATAAATTGAAGGACTGAGAAGTCCAGAGACGTGCTGAGGCGCAAACAAGGAATAAAATTCGGTTACTATTAAGCATCAGTATTATTCAAAGAAAAAAAAAACAGATAAAGAAATAAATAAAGAAAATCAGGCTCCATTATGAATGAAAAAAATGCATCAGAAAAACAGAGGAAAAAGAATAACAGAAAATGGTCGAGCAGTTCAACATAAACAAACAATATTCAGAACTCTCCAATAATAACTCATTTTCTCTTTCCCACTGTTCATTTTCTCCCTTCTTATTCCTGTCCTCTTCTGCATCTTCCTCAATTTCTCCCTCTTTCAATTGTTGACATATAAATATCAAACGACTTTTATACCTAACCAAAAAATTAGCGAAAAAATTATTTAACAAAAAATTTCAAGCCAAAAACTAAAAGCAAATTGTTGAATAATAATTGTGGGAACATACATTTACTTTTAGCTTAACACCTTTATCTCCTCTTCTTTTCCGTTTCCGATTCATCCTTCCCCTTTTCCTCTCCTCCAATCCACCTTATTCAATCTTCGTCCCTTCTGAACTATCACATGCCAACACATCCACTCTATTTTACTACAAACGCTTTGCGTCAACTGTCATTCATTATCACCATATGTAGCTTAACCTTTACCGTACCCTATAATATTACTGCATCACTAATACTGTTTTTATTTTCAGTAATTCCGTTTTTCTTCTACTTTCACAGGTAACTAATTAAAACTGTCGATTATTTCAAGTATTTGCGAGAAAAAAATCAATTTGAAAAAAGAACCGAATCATAAACAAAGATTTTTCCGCATATATTTCGTTTTTTTTCCTTTTGATATTTTTAGCACTTTACTCAAAAATAAGACGAAAAAAAATTTAAAGAAGAAAACGGGAACGCCACCATTGTTACCAAAAGTGAAACTGATATAAATTTTAAATACAGTAAATTTTTTATAAAACTCTACTTCAAAATTGTCATCAATCTCAACAAACTGTACTTTTCTTCGTTTCACAACAATTTTATGTCTGTTTACCTCCTTTGTTTTGCTAATTTGATAATACAACCGCCAATTAGTTTCAGCTAGTTATATAGTTCGTTAGCTAGTTGGCCATACTGCTATTTATTAGTGGTGTAGTGCAGTGATGGTAAAAACCACATCAGTGGAAC